TGTGGGGGGGGGGGAGAGAGGAGGAAGACGATGTTTGAGCAGAAATTTGATGAGGTGGAGACTAAAATTGAACCGTAACGAAACGTTGCGGCTCACGTGGACAGTGTGCATAAGTCCAAAAACGGTAAAGCCAATCTCCCCCCCTCCCCCTCCGGGTCAATTCATGGAAATGCCGCATATGAGGAGCGGATTTAGCCGTAGGCACTCTTGGCCAACTTCCTTGTTCATGTGATGTGTGTAAAGAAAAGTGATGAAAAAAGTGGGCAAAATGGGGCCCCTCATTTTGTGAATCGAAATTGATCACACCGTCACGGTTAGTGAACAGTAAAAAGTCGCCTCAGTTGACACTACTACTGGCAAGACTGGATGTGTTTAAATTCATTTCCCCTCAATGATTAGTTTACTTAATTTTGATATGTTTTAGCTCGATTACTGACCTTTTACTCAGTTAAGTGAATATGAAACAGATTTAGCCCACTGTAAATTACAGTATACATCGCAAAAAAAGGATATACCTTTCTTTACAAGTGATTGCAATATCCGCGCATCCATTTCTGTGGCACCCTCATAGGTAGAGGTGATAAACTCTAGCAGATAGGCTCGTTCCAAAATCTCCAACAGGTACTGCTCGTCACTCGGTTCAAATTCCACCACACCTTTTGCCCTTTCCATTAGACTAGAAGGGAGAATGACCAACTATAATATCGGTTGAATACCTGCGCAATCTGTATTTGCAGTTACTCCACTTTAGCTGAAATGTTTCATTAACTTCACCTTGGAGTAGTTGCTTCATAAATTTTACAAATATTTCAAGCGCTTTAGCCAACCCTCCTGTATCCTAAATGTGGATTAATATACGTCAGATATTTCTTACAGAAATAACAACAAAGGGTATGTTCTGACGCAGAGCATACGAAATTCCAGGTAAATTCGATCGATCTCCCTCAATAAGAATTCCACATACCGGTACACGGTTGGCTAAATCAATTAGAGGCGAAAATAAAATTTACTTATTGAACCTATAGGCGGCTGAAAGGGTGAATTGAGACGTTTAGGGATGCTCAATGCGGAACGCTGTTTATATCCAAATTTATGGGGTTCCTTGTCGTCGTAAAAATTGGACACTGAAGCAAACAAATAAAGCATTACAGTGGCTCTTACCCCCATCAATTTGATCACTAAGATGACTAACGAAAGCTTCGAACTGAGCTCTGCAAAGTGGAAGGTCTTTAAGATTTTCTCTTGAATCGAGGAATATGTAATGTGTGTGGTTCTCTGCTAGTTGAATTCTGATATCGTTTCCTGGGGGCTTTTTAGGAAAATCCACTTGTTCCCGTCCCTAAAAAGAAGGAGATATATATTGAAGGTTTGAGAACGGTCTGGACTATTCATCACTTGGATTAACTGAATCAGAAATGACTCCGTAGAAATTACTCTCTTCGAATGAGTAGAACCCGAAGTAAAATTGTGCTTTTAATATCCTCTCACTACCACGTATTCACTCGCTTATCGTGGTTCTACAACCTTTCAGCATGGGGAAACTCCCAAACACAGGCGGAGGGGGGGGGGCGAAAGACGACAAAGTAGGTGTGTTTACTTGAGGCGAAATTACAGATTAAGTAGCAGAAGTGGGAATTGCTGTTTAGAGTTGAATATGCTCTCATTTCATCACCTTAACTCAGCATAGAGAAAATCTGAGTGACAATTTTTTGTGTAATGTCTCCGATTCTATCAAAGTGGCCATAATCTAAAACACGGCATTCTACTAACAAAATTAAAGCCGTCACTACTTTGATGCCAACGGATTTTTAAATATGCAACTGTACTCCCCCCTGTGGAGATGCGAAAGAAACTATTCATCTCCTTTCTATCACCCACTTAAGTTTTCCTTTTATGTGATTAATTCTGCTTACCATGTAGTCACTGCATCGAAGAACTTGTGAGTTGTAAAGTCTTCGCCATGGAACTAGGCAAATAACTCGTAGTTGATTCATACCGTATGCTTCAGCGTAGGCTTTCACAACTTTCGAAACCACGTCACCAGCACACTTTTCTCGACCATCTGTCAAGATCCATGTTCCTGTCAAACAGTGAAAGCAATCAGTGCTATCATAAATGAGATTGCCAGTTGAATATAAAACGCAAATTAGCCATGTTAATTTTTTGCCGGGAAACAGAAAATTTTAAGGAGTGGCGCTTTGTCTCGAAATGAACAATCCACGCTGCATAGGTACCTTCCATACCATTTCGTGGTGCTTATCATCGACAATTTACACCAATTGATTGAACAAAATTTTTACTAATCAAGTGGTGGTTTGATCGCCTTTAGTCGAAAAAACAACTATTTTATTACTGTAATTAATCATTTTCACATAAATAAGACGCTTTACATTTTCTTTCAGGTCTTTCAACATTAATTTAATGGCTTTATAAGTCATGATTGTGAAATTGAATTGTCTACTATCAAAAATTTAAAACACTGCGGGAGAGAGTGGATGTGGGGCAAATAAAACTCGGAGTTCTAACAGACAACCCTCATTCCTGCCACTGGAAAATGGTGCACCTAACCACATCAGCTTGTATGCGTTCACCAGACAAAGGCCTATTACCATTTCCCTTCCCACACCATCATTCATTTACGCTAGCTATCTTCTAAAAATGCCTCAAGGCATTTTCCACCCAACGGATTTCTGGGTTTTTTGAGAAGCATTCGAAATATTTTTTGTTGCTCAACTTACTGGTCTGTCTAGTGATGCGTCCAAGACTCTTCTGAAGGAGTTTGTAAAGTGACGGAGAGAAGGAATCAGTCCCGTAGAAGGAGAGAACCAAGCCTGGTTTTGGCAACCCCCAAAGATCAAACAGGAGTGTTTCTAACCTCTCCATGCTTGTATTCTCCACCAAACGGACGTACTAAATACAGTAATTGACAATTTAAAATTTCCAACATGTACTTTTTTGAAGGTTAGAAAGGCTAGAAGACTCAAAATTGAGTAAGTAAGCCTAAGTAAACACACGCAATTATTGGAAGATAAAGTGAGTTTTAGAAGAGAACTTACCTGACTGACAAACGGCGAGAATGTCTTCTCAAATTGGCCGAAAGTATTTGTTGGACGGCGAATGAACCCGTACTTTCTTCTGGACATAACACGCATAAACTCTTCATTTTCGGACAATTTTTCATGATTATTATATCTGGTGTTGCAATTTTCGCAGATGGTGTCCCTAAATGCCATAAAAATTCTGTTACCATTTGCAAACAATTTGAAGTGAAGGTACTTTTTAATGCTTATATAGCCTACTTCCAATGATAATTCCCTTTGCAAGGGCTAAGAAGGTGATCATTTGTTGTAGGAACCCAGACAAAATAGCTCAGCATAGTTGCATGCCTATTTTAATCACACCACTAGCCGCTCTCTTTGGGGAAGACAAGCGGTCAATATTGACCCAACTGCCTAAGTGAGTATACAGCTGCAGTGGAACGCCTAAAATCTCTAAATCATTTAAGGTTCAATGCGTTGTCGTTCAAACCTTTGCTTTAGCCTTTCGTTTGCCATTTTGGCAGTTACCAGTTCCAACTCCGCGAGTTTATAAATATGCCTCATCTAAACACACCCTACCCAACCCCCCCCCCCCAACTCTTTCTCCCCTCATCACTCCCAAAGTCTATTTCTCATAATTACTGCGAAGCCAAAAAAATTTTATACCCACACTACCATGCTATACTCTAGACTAAAAGTCGTGTGGTGGAATACAAAATCAGAGATGACCTAGTTTAGGTTAATAATTCCAATAAAAATGAAAGCCGACTTACTGCTCGCTCTGTGCTCGGTAAACGCAGATGTAGGAGTCGAGAAGCAAAGGGATTTCCTTTAAATGTCTCAAATTGACGATCTTAAGATGAGGATGTTATGGTAGAGATAAATAAGTCAAAGGAAACAATCGATAATTGATTTATGCTGATTGATCTTTGGCTAGTGGGTTTCTGAAACAACGCTGACAATTTTTGTATCGTATATCTTACCATGAGGATGGGAACTAGGTTTGATTACAGATTAGTTTATGGTGATATTGTGATGCAAATTGGATGTAGAATCGATTGCAATCTATGGACTTTGTCTTTGCTGTGAGGTATTCATACATAATACTACTTTTAACCCTTACTATAAGTTAGAAGCGGAGAAGTTCGCTCAAATAGTTTCTACAATTTTTGCCGATATAAATCTATTCCATCTTGGCAATAATGTTCCAAGCTAATATATTTTTAAATTCATTTGAAACTTTATTACATCCATACAGTTGGAAAATATGAATTATCGATTTTGCGCTCACTTTATCCTGATAATGCGTTAGTTACGTAGGAAACCGGTGGACACTGCGTTAGAAAAACTGTAGGTGCAGACGCTTTCTACATGTTTTCTTCTCCTTAATTTTTCTGCCTCTCTCCTCCCCCC